CAGGGGGGTCCTCAGCAAAAACAGAGTATCTCACGTTTATATTTTCTTTATTCACTGGAGGGTTTGACTGGCTGCTTCAGAAAATATGAAAGAGCCTCTTTCTATTATAACTTCACGAATCAAGAGGATGACTGGATGCGTTACAAAACCATCTCACAACCTTCCAGCAGTTCACATGGGGTCCAGGGACTTGCAGGAAGTTCCAGTTCCTTTCTTGTGAAAGAGTTCGAAGCCCCCCTTTTGTATGTAACATGATTTTTATGTGAAAATGAAAATAAAATTGAAGTAACGTTCTTTTTTTTTTTCAAAATCAAAATGAAAGATCAAGATCAAAATGACCCATTAAGCAAGATGGCCCCTGGGGGCTTCTTTCCCGGGTAGGGCAGCACCTTCCCCGGGTAGTGGGGGAAGATGCCCCTTTACAAGATTTTACATTTAGATATATGATCACAAAGTTGTAGTCTGTTATAATTTAATTACACTTTAAATGTGTTAACTTAAGCATATACTTCTCGTGTATATATATATTTTTTTTTTTGATTGATTATTCTGAAGGGGTCGTTTTACCCTTACATAAAAATCACCGAATTGCTGCGGATTAAATCTGATGATGCACAATGTGCAGTCACTCTATAAAGACCCTTATCCGGTGGTGATCCTGGGACAAGACCTGAGATGCTGGAGTCCTGTAAACGAGTGATGTGTGGTGTCTACTCACGGAGGATGATGTCGATGGCGAAAGGAGTGTTTTCCCTGCAGCTCCGGGCAGTAGTTCGGTTGGAATCATTATTCATGCTGGCTCCTGTCGCCCTGTTATCACAAACACAGTTTAGAGACATATCTGAGCCTCGCTTACATCCACTGACACTCGGTGCGTGCACAAGCCGCTGGCTCTCCTGTCCAGAAATCCAAAGAGCGTCCTGAAACTTTCCACAGAGGGATATCTGCCACCCGGGTACCCCCAAAACACTTGTTGCAATCGCTGAACCCGCCCCCTTCCCGCTGTCATAGGAAAGTGAGTCGTCGCCGAATCACCAAGTCCTAAATAATTGACGTAAAAACGTTTGTGGTTTGAGGTTGGCACTTACCAAGCCTATCTCAAATTAGATTTTATTGGCTTTCGCAACATTTTCATGCAGCATAAAATGATGGAAAATTGATCTATGCAAGTAATTAGGAATTTAACAGTCTATCATATAAGAAATTAAATCTTATCATCCACATGTTATTTTTGCCCTTTTGTGTGTGTGTGTGTGTGTGTGTGCGTGCGTGCGTGCGTGTGTGTGTGTGTGTGTGTATGTGTCTGCGGAAGTCGCAGGCACTCATGTCACATGCACCCCGTTCCCGTAGCAACATGCGCAGGGGGTATCGTCATGTGAGGCATGTGCTGCAAATCTTTTTGCGCCTCTGGCTCCATTTGAATAATTTTCCACAGAATTGAGTCTTGTACTGTGATCCAGGACATTACTGAATTAAATGCAGTACTGAATAATGAACAGCAATGATGTCAAAATTCGGCTCAACAGATACATTTTTACCAACAAAAATCTAATGTCATCAGATACTTGCTGCATCCTAGTTGTTATCCTTTTTTTTTGTCTCTTGTGAGAAACTCCTGGAACTTTCTCTTATTTTCCTGAATCTTATTTTGTTTCTGAACATCATCCTTACCCTTGTTTACCTTATACAGATTTGATCTGCCTGTCCATTCAGGCAAGCCTTGGCTTCCAGAGGCTAATTTTGCATGAAGGCATTTGTTTTTCTCTGGCACTGAGCTCAAATCTCTTTATCCTTGAGCTGCATGTGCAGACACAGTTAAGGAATGATTAATGGATATAGCCAAGAGGCATAAAACATACATATACATGCTCACATCCAGTTATGTTAAAGTAATACACAACCTAATAAACAATCAGTGTATTTACATGTTTGTAAAGTTATACTCTATGTTGTTTACTGTGCTCGCCAGAGTTACAAAATGCACAGTATGATCCATATCCGTCTGACCTCATATGACCATTGAATCATTTGAATCAAGTCTGAGCAGCTGTCCTGTTCATGTTGGCTGCGTCAAGCCACTCCTTAGCTTATGATTGTGTTCCTTGGGATACAGACTCATCTGAAATCATTTGTTTCGACTGGCCTGAGGTCATGAAATTGATAGAAAAGTTCCAAGAAGCTACCGCACAATCCTCAGCCACAACACAGCTTTATTAAAAAAGATGTGTATGGGAATGTTCTACCAGTAATGCACATATAGTATCTAAATAAATCTCTTGTTAAAAAGAAACTGTGACTGTGAAGATGATGTCACCTCAAGAAAATATCTTTAGACAGTGATTAAGAAAACAACTCAGCACACTATGACAGCATCAGTGCTGACTGGGACATGAGTGTTCACTATGCTGAGTATTTCTGATTCTCAACTGTACGATAATCATTCAGATTAAAGTTCATTTGGATGATGCCGCAAAATCAGCTGACCAACTCCATCCACTGAGGTTTTGATGCTCTTATATCCAGCCATGAAACACTATTGGCTATGTCATCGAAACTGAAATCACTTTTTTGATAGTGGGCTTTGCTTTTAATGGATGAACCATCCAAAGGTCTTCCTTGAAACCGCGGCTGCTTTAGCCTTGGGTAGGTAAGACTTGTTTGGTTATTAACAAGTCACTGTTTACTCTCCCTGAAAAACTGACACCGAGGTCATTAACTCATAGCTTACATGTGCATGGACACACAGATAACACACACACACACACACACACACACAAATATGCATGAAACAGGTAAAAGAATTCTGTCGAGATTTGAACAACACAAAAATACAGTCACTGATATGCAAATGTTTCTTATTATTTGCTTGTTTTTCTTGTTCTTGTTCTAAGAAGATACACTGTTATGTATTAGCCGGTTTTCTACTTTCTACTACAGATCTGCAAAACAGATGTGATACACCGGGCGTCTATTCTGACATATGCTTTACAAAAACGTATGATTTACAAATAGCCATGTGAGGCACTACTGTAAGGAAAGTTAAAGTGAAGCATGAGGGATTTGAGAGGATGAGCAGCCTCAATCCCTAGAAGTCAGTGGCCTGGGTGTCAGACAGATAGCAGATGTCGAGGTCCGTATGGGTTCCTGAATCCACAAACATTGTTGACTCTCTTCAAAAAGCATGAGGAAACATGTCTGGTTTAGTTTTTTGTCTGAGCTTATCAAATAATACTGTTTTGGATGGTGTAATAACCAAAGCGTTGTTCACTGTTCCTTTCTCTTATCTTTTTCTGACAGCTAAATACAGTTTCTCATTTGTTGTGCATGCTGTAATTTCATCTTAATATAATTCTCATCGAGTCATGTTTCATTCCTGGAATTTAGAGCATGTGGATGCAAATAATGACTAGTGTGTACACACTAACAGAATCTAAACTTTGCAATTTGTCCTCCCCCTGGTGCTGAAATACTAAACGTATATGCTCTGCCACATTGACACGAAGACAACTACTCAACACTGCTCCCTCCAAAAACTACTGACGGTGCATTCAGAAAGTATACAGACCCCTTTATTTTTGTAATGTTGCAGCCTTATGCAAAAATCATTTAATTTGTCCCTCATTAATCCACTCAATACCCTGTTATGACAAGCATTCAAACCCCCGAAGAAGTTTGGAACAAACAGGACTTTTACTGGAGCTGGCCGCCTGGCCAAAATGAGCAAATGGAGAAGAAGGGCTTTGGTAAGAGAGGTGCCCAAGAACCCGGTGGTCAGTCTGGCTGAGCTGCAGAGAGTCCTGTGAGCTGGGAGACACTCCCAGAAGGACAAACTCCAATGCTGCACTCCACCAATCTGGGCTTTATGGCAGAGTGGCCAGAGACAAGCCTCTGCTCGGTGAAAGTTTCCAACTAGGATTAAAATCAAATGAATTCTTCCATGAGTCAAAGTGAATGTTTCTGCCAAATTTGAAGAAATTTGAGATACCACCTTCATGAGAATGATACAGGCATACGTAAAACATGCCTCCAGCTCTGACCTGAAAAAAAAAAAGCACTAAGAGACTCTCAGACTGTGAGAAACAAGATTCTCTGGTCTGATGAAACCAAAATTGAAATGTTTGGCGTCAGCTCTAAACATTATGTCTGAAGGAAAACCAGCACTGTTAATTACCAGCACGAAAACATGGGGGTGTAAGCGTGGAGTTTTTTGTTTTGTTTATTTATTTATTTTTTTTAAATGGAAAGGAATGAGCGAGTGGTCAGGGTGAGTACAGAGATTACCTTAATGTAAACCTGATCCAGAACACACACACAGACTGGGCTGAAAGGTGAACCTTGTGGTGAGAAAAACTTGTATGAATCCTTTTGTGCCTACAGAGGGAGTTGCACAAAATCTAATAAATTACCTCAAGCGGTGGGTTGGTGCATCACAGGTCTGACAGTGTGACAGGACAGACGTGCTGAATCAGAGAAATACCCCTACGTGTAGGCTCCGCCCTTTACGCAATTATAAAACTGATGAGAGAAAAATGAGATTGGAGGTTTAAAAAAACATTTAATGTTATTTTCATGTTACTTGTGTAGAGGCATGTACTTCATTCACAAAATAGGAACAGTAAAATTAATCAGACAAGAAAAATATATATGTAGTCTTTTTTCTTACATTATCAATATATATACACACATTGTAAAATAGGACATTGTAACAAAAAGAAACCAAAATGTAGCAATAAGCAAGTTATGATAGGCTACATCTGCACTGTGTACATTACAGATGTAAAATGTTTTTGAAATTAGGCAGAAATTTTCAGATCCTTCCTCCATTTTCACAGGAGTTTTTATGGCTTCATTTATAAAGTTGAGACAGACCAGAGTAAAGCTGATTTAAAACATGACGCACCTAGCTATAGTTGAAAAACCCCCAAAAGTCTGTTTTATCACCATAATCCCTGTTATTATGTTAAAACTTTTTTTTTTTCTTTTTTTTCTTTTTTTTTTTTTTTACAGAAGTTAGGCGCCATGCTTTTGAGCATTAGTCAGACAGTTATGTTATGTACACAGACAGGTAAAAATCTCATGGCTGCACAGAAGCATTTCTCCCAAGACAACAATATTACAAAAGAACACTCAATTAAGCATTACAAAATACACACACGCACTTTAGTCTCAAGGCCAAACAGCCCAGAGATAGAATATAGGCAATTTGTAAAAGAACAAGATGACAGGTCCAATGTTTCAGAATCAGTGGTCATAAGTGATGGGTGGAATGAGCCAGGCTCCTAAATGATGCAGAATTGAAATTTTTTGTCTTTTTCTTTAACTAAATGTTTAAGTGTGAGATTTAGAAAACATCTACACATGAATCGAAACATAACCTTGGCTTGGATCGTGACCTCTGACAGTAATTACATCTGCTAATTTGAGATCAAACAACAGTGTGATTCTGATATACTTAGCCACCATGACAGTATAATCCATACAGTAACAAATATCCTCCAATCCCCTGTTTGTAAAGAGTACTTATAAATACACTTGGGCTCAATCGATCAAACATGATTGGAAGGATAAAAATGTAAACGTAAAGTCTGAAGAGCGAGCTTCTCTTAATACTCCATCATTTGACCAAATACCTTCACTGTCCTGTCTGTGGTACATTCAACACGACTGTGACAACGATCACCAAGAAACACACCGTACAACACCACTAATTCAATCTACACGATAGAAACAGCTGTAAACTTCAACATTACCAGAGTCTGATGGGATCTAGATGGCAGGAGACTCGCCCAGCTACAGTTATGGATGTGATCAGATAGACGTGAGCAATGACTGACATCAGGAATTTGCTGTGTCTCTCTCCAGTGAGTTGGAAAGTTGCATATAAATGACAAAAAAAATCCTTGGAAAAGGATTTAGCTCATTGTGAAAAAAACTGCTTTTTGGTTGTCCTGACACAATAGTCTATTCTTTACATGATGTGATATGCATGGATAATGCAGTCTAATAATTTTTCTGGTATGTAAAAAATTCTTGCCTGACAGATCCCAGGTGTTTAACACTGACATAAGATAATTCACCGTTTTACACAAGCCAAGCCTCCTTTAACCAGTTCAAGGTCACAACACTGAGCTGATTCCAAATAACACACAGAGAAGACAAGGTAATCAGAAGCTGTAGTTCACACCTCTATTTTACAGTAGATCAGTTGGGTTCAATTCACTTTCATTTCAAATTAAATCTGGATGAGTTATTACAGGAATATAATGGATATTCATTGTGTTATGAAAACATTTTATTTTGAAGAAAGCTGCACCTGCAAATTAGATGGAAAGTGAATTGAGCCCTGAGCCAGATGTTTATAAAGTACAGAAAACTTCATCTGAATGAGGGCAGATAACAGGAGCCTTGTCGCCACCTGCCGGCCAGCACTGGTATTGCAAGGACATCATGACCCACTGTAGGCAGGAGGGATAGATACACCTTGTATAAAATATTGCGCCACAACGACTGGTAAATAGAATTTGGTTATCATGACATTGGCCAGTGAGGTTAAGATAAAGCTAGGATGTTGTAAACACTTCAGAGGTCAGAGCTCCTGACAGGTCAGCCCTTATTTGGCAATGAGTGTTGGTGTCTTAGTAAAGGTTTAAGCACTGAGTTGTAGAAAAAACAGGCTGTAGACATTTTGGGCTAAGAATCACTGATCATCACATGACATAATTAACTGACTCTAGAAGAGCAGGTAGTGAAGAACACTGCACATTGCACTATGTGAAATGCATCTCCCAGATCAAACCGTCTGTATATAAGCAGCATGTTGTAACACAAGTTGGCCACAAAAACACATAAAGCTGATTCTTTTAGTTTCGGTTACTAAGAAAAAAGAAAGAAAAATTGACTGCCACTTCAACTGTTACACACACATTCCCGCACGCGCACACACACACACACACACACACACACACACATACACACACACACAAATACACCATAAAACACATGATCATCCAACATCTGTTATACCTGGGATGCTTTTTGGACATGATAAAAAAAAAAGCAGCACATTGTTTGATGGACATTGATAAATCTACAAAGTGCAAATGCGCCATCTTGTGCTCTGATATCCAAAACACCATCCAAAACCCAGATATCCAGATCGTCCCTGTTGTGCACTGGTTCAATCCGCTGAACTATGCCAGAGTCCCCTGTAATGTAGTCCAGGTTTTGGTGGGGAAACATCCATCTTAAAAGGTGTGGAACATACATACGCTCCAACATTTTGAGTTGGAAAACAAAAAACAAAAAACTGTCACTTGGGTAAACTGATCCATCTCCACAGGATGTACTGCCTTTTTAAAAACACTAAAGAAATGTTCAAATTAAAAACACAGCTTGTCCACCACTCTTCACTGCAGCTTTGTGCCTATAAAATGTGTCCCGGTGCACCCAGGAAGCTTTTGGCACAAAAAAAGTTCTCTCATTAAAACACCAAAAGCAGCTCCGATTCCCTCCAGGATTCTTGAATATTCTCATCATCAGTAAATGCTCCAGTTGTCAGAAAAAGAAAACTGAACACAAGGAAATACGAATATAGCTGAATGTGTGACAGTTAGCATGTATGCACGTATGCACGTGTGCACGTGTGTTGATGTTAGAGGGAACAAGCTTGTATCATATGTCCTATGGGGTAGGTGTGAGATTTGCTTACGACACTGCATGCGAAATATACCAATGCATTACTGGGCTGTGATGGGCGAAAGGAAGGCATTTCCATAGTTACTCTAAATGGGTCTGTAGGGATGGGGTTACACTGGGAGACTGTTGCCATGGTGACAAACTAAACTTCTGTGTTGCTTAAGGCATCATATTAGATGACTGAGGAGTTTCTCCTGCGGCAGAAAAAGAGAAGAAACAAAACAAAGATAATTAGGTGAATTACCGTTGATTACACTCAAAATTTACATAATTATGCAGTGCAACACTTTCATGTACAAAATCTGACTTCTGCACACAAAAAAAGTCAGCGCTGTACCCAAACCTACAGACTGACTGAACTGGTTCACTCACGTTTACCTGGTTAGGACTCGCTCTCCATGGAGATTGTAATGGTTTCACTTTCAGCTGTGAAGGTAAACAGAATATGTGATTAGGTGACAAATTCCAAAAAGGAAGTACATTATCATCCCTGCTGGGGCTCACCTGATTTGAGAGTGTTATTGGCCAGATGGTCGTCGATGTTGTTGGCATGCTGGTTGTTGCTCAGGAGGCGATTCTGTGACTCGCTGAGCGGGCTCACAGGGACCTCAGCAGCACTGGAAACGTACCCGACAAATAAACAGTCAAAAAGAAGTGTGGATCCAAATATAAATGCTTTTCAATATGTCCTTTGTTACACCATGACTGATCACCTTTTATTGGGCTCTGGATGCAGGGTCACTGTGGCCTGCTCTGCATCAGCATTGACCAGTCGTGTAGGGAACGTCAGACCATCTCCCTGGCTGTAGTAAACAAGGAGGAAACTCAAGATTAGGTGCAGTCAACCTGCAAAAAACTGCATCAGTGTACAGTATTGTTGACAGCATGCAACAATTTTAATCCTTTACCTGGTAAAGACTGGTACAAGCCAGTACTTCTTCTGGTCTCCAAAGACCTGAGCAATATTCTTCCGGAAACCCAGAGAGAAGCCGTTCTTATCAGAGCCTGTCCTAAAGACTGGTGCTCTGAAGGCCTCTGGAGTGATGGTGCAACATGGAGGGACAAGTATGGACAGAGAATACAAACACAGAGATGATTGAACAGACAATAAACAGAAGATGAACGACCTGCAATTTTAACCTCATGAGAAAGAAGAAAGATGCACTGAAGAGGGGGAGAGTGAAAATATCATTTCTGAATTTTTTTTTTTTTGCTTGAAACATTCAGACATTTAAAACATCTTAACAAAATGTGTTAAATTCTATGTTGATGTTAGATGCAGAGAAATACACACATGGAAATGTGTTCACATTTTAAGATGGATTAAAAGCTTAATAGAAAAACCTGTTGAAAGTGTGTGTGTTACCTATAGTGGACCTGTTCTTCCCCACAAGCCACAGGTGGTAGCTGAAGAGAGACAGAATACTGATGCAGAACATGGCCGCCACAAAAAAAAGAAACAAAACATGGAATTTGGCGTGATTGTCTGGCAGCTCATTCTGGGGAAGAAATGGGAGAAGAGGAGAACGAGAGAGGAATCAGTAACAAATTCACATTGAGGATATTGATGAAAAGACAAGAGAAATAAGAGAGAAAGTACCAAAGAATAGGGAAGAGGAATAGAGAAATAAGTGGAGTGTCACATGAACCATGGCACTACATGAACATCATGACAATATCCATGGTAACGATGGTGAAGCACTCTAACACTAAAGGCTTTGGAGGATCACTGGGTTACCTTTGGGCAGTTCTCTGCCGATTTCCTCCGGCAAAGCTTTAGTACAAACAGAAACAAGACTGGTTAGCAACACAGGAAAGAACAGGCAGGAGGAGACGGGGAGCACTTTGAAATCAGGAGGCAGATACAAGTCAAGGCCAAGTTGGATGACAGAGAAAAAAAAAGGAAAGAAAGAGAGTGGGTGAATGTGCAAAGTGTGCCCAGAATGGAGGAATCAAAGGGATGAAAGAGGCAGAGATGAGAGGAAACTGAAGGGAAACAGCTCCAAAAGTGAAAAAAGAAAAAAGAGAGGAGGTGTCTGCAGCCGCATGAGTGGTGTGACTGATGGTTCTGATAGTGGAGAGGGAGACAGAAAAGAGAGAGATCAGAGAACAATGACCCAGTGTCCGAGAACTGGGGATAAACAGAAGGGGAAACAGAGAGGGGTCAGAGGGTGAAGGGTGAGAGAGGACAGAGAAAACAGAGGAGTAGCACAGCTCAGCACAGGAGAGGTCAGCACCATGCACAACCAACTCAAAGGATGCTCAGCATGCAACCAAATCTGCATCCTCTGAAACATCATACAGACACACATTCACATTCACCACATTCTGAGTGTGAGTGAGCTGACTGCGTAGTGAGGACTACTCCTTGGGAAAGGGATGTGTCTGTGCATTATTACTCACTGTCCAGAACTTTATGAAATATTGCAGCACTGTTGCTGCAATGAACAAACAGTACACCAACGAGTAAGCCAGGAAAAGGATGAAAAACTTGTAGTTGGAGAATCCCACACAGTTGTTCACCCTGGAGACATATAAACACAAGAAGGTCAGACATCACATCCGCCGAGGTAGAAAACTTACCAATTTGAACTGAAAAGGTGCCACTGGCAAGGTTCTTTTGTTGGTTAATATTTAAGTAGAAAGCTCTGTTGCCTTCAAGGTTACAAGCAACCCAGGGAATAAGAACAAGGGCCACATGAATTTTAGGCAGTTTATTTTCTGAATGGTTTTGGCAACATGTCAGGCTGTAAGATGAGACATTATTCCAACATAATGCAGTTAAAACTAATCAGATTCCACTATTTTCAAATACAAATAAGTGTGTCAGTTCTTAGAGTGGTTTGCTCTTGGTTGACTGCGTTATGCTGAGCTTTTATAGAATAAGGAACTGCTGGCTGTCAGAATCATCTCCTCATACTCTTAAACCTGCATGAAGGGGCTGAAGAAAAGGAAAAATGTAGGAATAAAATGTGTGATGTCATATGTGTGTCTCTTTGTTTAGCAGGGCTTACATACCAGGGACAATGGTGGTCCATCTTTAGCACGCACCTGCCATATACAGCAATAGAAAAAGGAGAGATTGAAAACACATGAGAAAAGTGCAACATGATTTGAAAGGGTGAGTGAAAAGAGGAAGAGAAAAATACATAGACTGAATCGAGAGGAATTTTTTATATTGAGTAAGTATGTTTTCTTACATGTCACACGCGGAGCAGTGATGACAGCGGTCTGGCTTGATGACTTGACAGCGGTCACAGTAACGGATTGCTGCTCATGTTAACACAACAGTATCTCATTAATACTGGATACTTAGTTCCAATTAAGAGGTACAAACACACAGACAAATCCAGCCTCACTACACAGACGTACCTCCGGCTCCTGTGCGGGTATACAGAGGCAGACTGGTGGCAGCTCTCCACAGGATCTCTTGCTGGGACTCTGGCCTTTCTTCCTTCTCATAACGCTCCTTCTCAGCCTTGGGCAGGCAGAACTGGAGTGACGAGAGCAGCATATCAATTTGTTTTGAAAAATGCATTCATCAAGTTCACTTTATGGCAACAGGGGGTTAGAGACATGCAGACACAGTGGGCTCGATTTGGATGATCGGGGTTATTGTACCTCTTTGGAAGGGTTGGCCGGCCTGGTGAAGATGGTCTTCCAGTAAGACCATACAAACATGATGAAAGAGAGGTGGAAGAAGAGCAGGTAGACAACTGAAGGGAAAAATTGAGTGACAGGGTCAACAATATACATAGTCTGATATGTGCAATGACATTAAACACAAGTAAATTACCATCAAATGTTGATATAAGGAAATTCTGCTGTTACTTAGGGTATCGACTAAAAGAAGAAATGCTGTACATCTACATATTTAATTAATGAGAGAGGAAAGCTAATGCTGAATGAGGAGGAGCAGCTCTGCAGACCGAGCTCAGCACTTTGAGAGAGCACGTTTCCTGTGCCAGCCTTTTCTTTTTTAGCCAAGTCTTGAGAGGAAATTTCTCCAGACCAAGTAGAGATTATCGCAATAAGTAGGAAACAGGCTCAGTTCAGCAAATCAGTTCTGATATTCACATTGTATGAAATGAACATTGTTTTCCCAAGGCCACTCACTTTTCTCTCCTACATCGGGGATGGTGACTGTAAGAAACAAAACAGAGAAAATAGAAATGTTAGACTGTCAACTCAACAGTGTTACTCACAGTGAGCAGTTACAGATTTGACAGTGGGCTTGACTGACAGAAGAGAGAGAATTGTTTATTTCATCCATCCATCCAAGTTATAAAGCTTCACATTACACTTGCTCTATATCTAAACAATGTTTCCCAACCAAGGGGTCAGGTTACCCCATGAGTCCCAAAGATAAATTTGAGGGGTCACAACACGATTAAAGGGATAAGTACAATTTAAAAATTTCTGTTACAAAGAATTATGCTTATTCTTAACAACTTTACTCTTGTTGACAAAACACTCTTTTTACGAGGTGTTTTTTTTCTTTTCTAGAGATTTTGATTGAGTAACACCATCTTTCTCTGCAGGCAGAGCTTGCCCACTCAAATTTCCATTTTTCAGAGCCCTTTAAGGACTTCTCGCCCACCTTGTGATTGTTTTGTCAAATGCTATTTCTAAGGTCAAGAATGAACTTTCATTCTTGTATTTAGAGCCAAGGTGGACAAGAAGTCCATTTTGTACTGAGAAAAATGGAAATAGAAAACTAAAACTACAATTCCAAACAATCGGAAAATGGCTTAAGAAGATGAGCATACTTTGTGGTAACACTGTTTTGTCAACTGCTGTTTCCAGGGTCAAGAATGTACTTAAAGCAAAAACCTTTGGTAGTTTTCTTTACTTTTCCTTGCAAAACACTGCATACTTTTCACGTATTTAACCAAACAACAAAAATCATTTGAATGTAACAATCTGATTAAAAAATTACTCCTCAAGACTCATGAGCACTCCAAGCCCATACAATCGGTATGGTGGGAAACACACAGTTCTTCATTTTAGGGTGTCACAAGCAATGAAAAGGTTGGGAACCACCGATCTAGTCTTCTCAGACACCTTGAGCATGTATTTTACAAATCACAATTACATAAAAGAATACCATACAATCTGACCTTTAACTGAAAATCTCATCCAGTGATCTTGACATACAAAAGTTTGGAAAGCCCTTTAATACACCACAGTTCAAATATATCAAACCAATTTTGCTCCTCCGTTTAACTATTATTTTACAGCATCCCTCATTATAATACCAAAACTCTCCGGGCCAAATCAGCTCCTCGCAAAACCTCAACATGTTACCTGTGTCAAGCTAATTAGTGGTAGTCTAGTTAGAGTTAAAGAGTCTATCGGTCCAGCCAGCCAAATACCGTTTAGTTAGCGTTTTAATTCTCCATCCAGACTCCATTCAGCTCGACACAAAACCACAGAGACGAGACCGGCAGGATATAAACTGCACGGTGAAAGTTTTTCTTTGACAATTGACACAATTCGCCGTAAAATACAACAACCCGACGCAAGGGCAACGTACTGATAATTAGCTGTATCTAGATTTGGACAGGCTTGCCAACACCATTGTTGAGCTGCAGTCCATTTACTTCCTGCTGGCCAGCAGCAGCTGTATGTTTGGGTGGAAAGCACAATGAAAACATGAGCGGTTAAAGGCTTTGAAGAGCCGACACACAGCGCCAGGACATATACTTACATAAACAAAGCTCCACCACATAAGCATAATACGACCAGCAGACGACTAGGGCGATAAAAATCACAGGTATCCATGCTAAACCCCGTTGACAGCATCTCAGTACGTGTGTGGGCGCCATCTTTCTCCCTCTACTGGGAAAAGGGAGTGTCAATGTGTGACGTCACTTGAGCAAACTGAGACTGGAGGTGGTCTGAAAATATTTGTTGGAATCAGTTAATTGAAGATATTGATTGGAATAAAGCGGGGTCAGTACCACACACTATACAACAAACAAGGCTAAAATCTCACTCATCTCTTTTACAATTGTAATTTTACAGCTAAATTTTGGTCAGATTGCTACTTTATATACCAATTTAGAGCTGTCTCTTAAAGATGCCATTCTATATTTTTAATGTTCAGACTCCAAATTAATTTTATTGCAAATGGTATGATTTTAATGGGATTGTTTCATTTTACAAATGCTGTTTCTTCTAAATGAATACACATACTCCTTATTATATATTTGATAAACAACATTAAAATAATATAGACAAATAATTAAATTGCATAAAACCAGAAGGTATCCTGTGTTCATTTTTTTAACGTTTTTTGTTTCCATTACTGTTTTTCACTTTATTATTTTTCCAAATATGATTTGACATTGTAAAAAAAGTAATAAAAGATTATATCACAACTCAATTTTATATACAAAGCACTCAGTACTTTAAACCTTATACATACTTCCTATACAATATGACAAATAATTACCATGAATTTTAACCAATTACAGGGAAGGTGAGACAAAAAGTTAAACAGGTGTTAGACATGGCCATAAATTTCTAGGGGGCCCAGAGGTGAAAAACCTGTTCCTGTGCCCCAACTGACCCCCACAATACATAGCAGTTTCACTGTGTCCATGGATCCAGAAACTGACCAGTACTCAAAGGCTGAAATGGTTATTTGTTTACCAGTAATTTGTTAGATGACTGGCAGTCTTTAAACTAGATATAGACTCTACAAAACCAGGGCCACAAGATAGATAGTTGAAGGAGGACCTGTCACTGTCATGATTAATAATGTACTTTAGTTTGAGATTAACCAAATGATATGGTGTAACCTGGGGCATTTGAGGTCCCTGGGCCTCTGTGGCCCCTGGACAGTAGCCCACTTTGCTTGGCTGGTTATCCTGCTTTGTGTGTGCTTTATATAGCAAAAAAACGGATTCACTCACTCATCTCGATGATTTGAATGCAAAATTTTGGCAAAAGCTTTTGCCACTGTTTTGAACATAATGGTAAAGCTCAGCCATGTTTGCAGTGTTTGTGACCTGGAGGATTTTTCATGCAAATATTGGACAAATATTGACATGCTCCATGTCTGGCTCCACATTCACCCCACCTAGTTGCCCATTTTTAGATTAGCTGGGAGTTAGGCGGTCAGGCACTGCCAAGATGGAGATGGTGAAGCAGCCCACTCTCAGCTTCAAATTGCTCTTCAAAAAACTATGGGTGACGTCATTGTGGCTCTGTCCAGCTTTTTTTTTACAGTCTATGATGCCAGTTTAATAACTGTGGCAAGTATAAGCTGCCGATATCATTGTTAACACAGCTGGGTGTGTGGGACTCTTGCTGGAAGGCTAAAACAAGGCTAATTCATTTACTGGCTAATTTGCAACATAACAAGCTAAGCTAACAAGCCAGGTATGGTGAGCGTAGACAGCAATATATGCCAATTTGTGCTAATATATAAATAAAAATGAATTCCTCGTGTTCTGTTAGTCAATTAACCATATAGTAAGCCATATAATTTGTCCAATATTTGCATGAAAAATGTAAACTACACCTAAACATAGCCGAGTGGTCATGTTCAGTGAATTGAATTAGCTCAGCTGATACCCAGTGATAACTAGCATACAGCTAGTGGCTAGTCAACTGTGACCCCCCACCTGTCACTGAAGGGGGCCATACCCTCAATTGTGCATTACTTTAAACCTTAATAAAGTTTAAACGGGGAGGTTATGTAAAATTTCACCCCCATACAGTTGTCAAAAAGGGGGAAGTTAGCTACCGAGACTGAAACCGTTTTTCTTTTGCACCAGGCTGTAAACCTGTATTTCTGCTGTTTGGGCATTTTAATATATGAGTCTATGGGCATTGACTTTCTCCCAGCCCCCAGTGGCCATTTGAGGAACTTTCACATTGGCTTCATATTTCAACCCGAGGCCCCCGCTCAACTTGGAGTTGATTTCAGGACTGTAACTTCCTGCCCTTAAAACAACGTTAATCCCGCAACAGAAAGAAAAATATACGGGAACCGTTTTGGTTTAAGTTGGTCAATGTCAGCGTACTTTAAATGTAGTCTTGTTTAATACTGGTGAAGTTGTCAGAAGTGAAAGTAGTGACGCGTAATCCAGGGAAAATGACTTCGGTGGACATGGACTTGCAGAAATATTTGTTGCGCATTGGGTTTGTGGGTCCAGCTGAGCCCAGCCTGGATGTGCTGCGGTCGCTTCACAACTGTCATCTGCTGTCGGTGCCGTTTGAAGACCTCACCGTGCACAGCAGCGGACGAGTCCAACTCGATCTTCCGCTTTTGTTCGACAAGATCGTGAACCGGCGCAGAGGCGGTTTTTGCTTTGAGAACAACGGACTCTTCTCCTGGTTGCTGTCCAAAATGGGCTTCCAGGTAACTTTGATTTCCGGCCAGGTGAAGAACTCCGTCACCGGCCGCTACGGGCCACCTTTTGATCATCTGATCCTCATGGTGACCATTGAGGACCGGCGGTGGCTGTCCGACGTGGGCTTTGGCGTGCCAGGCTTCAGTACCCCCCTTTCACTGGAGCACAGTGGCCCCCAGGAGCAGGGCCATCGAGTGTACCGCATTAGAAAGGAACGGGATATGCACTTTCTGGAATGGCAACAGGAAGAAAACAGAGGTACAGATGGAGACTGGACAGAGATCTACAAGTTTACCCTTGATCCCTGGCGTCTGGAGGATTTTACTGAGATGTGCCAGTACCACCAGAGCTCCCCCAGCTCCATTTTCTTCTGCAAATCCCTCTGCACTGTTTTAAAACCAGGTGGAAGGATCACCTACATTGGCCACAGACTGATCACCGCCACGTTTCCCAATGAGGAAACAGGGAGGGTGTTTGAAACCACAACCAGGGAACTTAAAGATGAGGAGATTCCTGATATTCTGGAACAGGAATTTGGAATTGTGCTAAACTCTCTGCTCATACCAAAGGATGAGGTGATAACACCACCCCCAGTCATGTATTGATCATGTTTCCATATGGAATATCTTTACACCTTCATAGACAAAATTATGTGAAAAAAATGTATCTGTCTTCTTATTGGCATAGCTGCAAACAGTCTTGATTCATACATGTTATACATAAGGATTGCAAATTGATTTTTTAACACTCAGATCAAAGTATGAAGTACAGTATATAGAAAGATTGGACATGTGGCTCTTGTCTAATCCTGATCTTTGCATACACCAACAAACCCAAATCTAGCCGTTAAACAATCAACCACACACAGTCTTAACACATGCAACAAAAAAGATAAATTGTCAGTCTGATTTAATAAATTATACATACACTTTTAAGATGTACAATGGTCATTGCATTAATCCATCTGTCTTTTTTTTTTGTAAGACAAAGTCTGCGTTCAAAGTATTTACACATGTACAATTATCAGGCAGCACTTTACAAAGCAAGGCATGAACAACAATAGAGATGTTGAGCTTTAAATCAAACCCTTCAACCCTCACCCTTCTGCCTACTCCATTTGTCACAGGGGAATACTCAGCTGTCCCATGATTATAATACATTTTCCCATCCCACCTTTGATGGGCAATAAAGGGAATTCAAGAAATTGAATGACATCCATCAAATCCAGCAAGATCCATAGGAGATTCAAACGGATTATGGTCGTTGAAAATCAAAAAGGGTGGGTAAGGGGTGGGGGCTAGGGTGTTCGCAACGTAACAGGTGCAAAAACATGGCGACGCGTGACACAAAAATCTACTCTGCGACAGGGTTGGAGGGGGGGACTGAGCTTGCTCTTCCAGCTTTTCGCTCATAGTTGACGAGCCTCTGTCCAACCAGGTATCTGCAAAGACAGAGATTATCACAATAACAATGCTATGATTCTTACTATTTTCAGACTTCCCAGCACTGAAATGACTCTTCATCTTTGAAGACTATAATTATGCCCTATTTAATTCATAGTCTTGAAATATTAACATTTTGAAATCATACATAACAACTTTTTTAGAAGGTTAAAAGTTAGTTTAGTATAAGTTTGCACTAGATGTTTTTAACTTAAAACTTAAACTGGAAACTGGAAAACAGTCATTGCCAAACACAACAAATGCCTCACAACAAATCTTAAAATAATTGTTTTTTGATGACAATTCAAGTAAATCCTTACTTGTCATTTTTGATGTGTTCATAAAGGCGTTTAAACTGTCGGATCTGGAAGGACAGGATGCCGATAAGTGAGACCACCATCAAGAGGAATGGGTAGATTCTTCTCTGCATTAGAATTTCCATCTCTGGAGTCACTCCTGCAAGAGCAATGCACTTCGGTTATATATTGTTTTACTGAACCTCCCATTAGATCACACTGTAGTCACTGCAACAGTCCTCTGAGATAAGAAGAAATGTAATATTTTGGGAAAACACCTCTGTAATGTGATGGTACTTAAGCATATTGACAGGATGAATCGGACAAACTATCGGTGGTTTGTTTTAAGATAACTCAGTGAAAGTCAGTGCTTTATTCTGCTTTCTTTGCTGCTGAGATCCTATCTTAGAAAAGTGCATTAAGTGCATTTACTGGTATATTTAAGTGTGATGCTCCTGTTTTGGTCTAAAAAAAAAAAAAATCTCCAGCTGAATAGGTGAAATTAACAAACCAACAGAGAAAATGAAAGGTTTAAACAAATACAATTCTAAATACTAATACTACACATGCCCAGGCACTCACCTACACCCGGGACCACTCCAGCAGCGATTACATACGGCACACACAAGGACAGCAGCAGGACTGAGATGACCGGAGCCGCCAGTTTACGGATGATGAATTGAAGATCAATGTTGCGAATTCCGTTTGCATAAACCTAGGGGGGAATTTTGGAATCATTATAAAGCTACTTTCAATTAAATTGATCCACACTGAGGAGTTACTGTCTTAACACAAGTAGGGTGGAATACAAAGTAATCTACAAAGCAGCACAAATGGATCCACTGTCTAGCTGAAGGCTGCATGAGCCAGCATTGAAACATTTTCTCAAACTGAAGGACAGACTAACCACTCAACTTCCCTGTTACTCTTCTTATATACTATAAATAAAATAAATTATGGTATAGAACCACTTCATGTCAAGATTTTATTAATGTATTTGTTTCTTATCTAGCCAAGATACTGAAATCTTAACAGTAATGGCTAAGTAATGAATACTTGTCGGTCAAAAGAAGTTTTGCAACATTAAATAATTAATGCTTAATATCCAACTGAAACCCACCTGCTCAATTACAGTCTTCAGCCACCACTGAGGGCCCATGAGAGTGATGGCAGCAATGATTTTGGCATGGAGCACTCCGAGAGCCCAGTCCTGAAGATAACAATGATCAGTGGATGAATATAGATACAGGAACTGGGGGTTATCTGACGATGCTAAGGAACCCAAATGGGCAAACAGGGTAAAGGAACAATTAGAACATAATACCTACACAACATTAAACTACTAAAATGAAGTTGTAATAGGGGGGGGGGGGGGCAGAGATGGAAAAAGACAGACATACCCATAACACAGACACACAATCGTACCTGCCAAGGGTAGAAGAGGGGTGTTTGGTCCAGGGGTACCCTGAGTGGAGCCACAATAACCAGTTCAAACAGCAGACCCAGTAGCAGCGGGATGACTCCAGCAACCAGTAGAGCTACAACCAGGGTCTTCAGGATCTGCATAAATAAAAAGAGGATGTAAAATTAACCTAAATAATCAGGAAACATCAATAGACTAAGAGAACAAGTATGGTAGTTTGAAGTTTTAGCCCGTTTGATGGCACCTTCTTCCTTCATGGGATAAAATGACTGCAGCACTGGCAGAGTTAAAGACTTGAGTAGAGGCTTCAAAGTTGGGATATTACTAATAGGGAGATGCTACCAAATTTTGGACATTGACTTTTAAGCTTGCAATAAGCAACCAAACGCTTAACAAAAACACTACAGCTCTTGAAAATCTAAATGCTGGAAAGAGAACAACTAATTACAGCACCACTCTGCTGCCCAGTTTTGGTGTTTGCCAACAATGGAGGCTGCTCACTGATGCGTACCATGAGTGTCCACTCCTGGACTTTGCGCATGATGACTGTGCGTCCCTGGGGCATCCAGGCAAGCAGCACAGTGACTCCGCGGATAGACAGCCAGCAGACATACAGGCCACATGCAGCTGTGTACAGTTCGTGGATTTTGGAGTTTCCTGTCCAGAAGGACATCAGCCAGCGCCCGGTGAACACTGAAACACATGACAAAACATACCATACATGAACACACTATTTCCAACATTACAGTGATTGTCATGTCTAATTGAGGAAGAAGTGGATTACTATTAGAGCTCAAAATATAACTTATTAAAGAGCAGAGACATGCACATACTTAGATACACCCTACAATTACAGACTGGGTGTTGGTCTACAGAGTAAAAACACATCTCACCTGGCAGGGTTAGACACACCAGACTTGCCACCAGCAGAGTGATGCACATGAACGCTATGAGCAACACAATCTGGAGAAGAGAGGACAAATGTTTTAGAATTAAAGTGAATATAGGGCAGTAATCAAACTTGGGACATACGATTATAATTGTACTTGTACTGACAACACTGTAGACATATTGTACAGTATACTTTCTAAAGTACAGCTGGAATATGTTAGACAGTTATCACAGTGCACATGGAGATCAAGGCCTTTAACATTAGAAGGAGCAGTAGAATAACAGAGCAGAGTTGTACAGCCTAGGGCGTCGGCACATTTCTAAATTTGTGTCGGAAACCACAAATTACAGATAGCCGTAGTAGGTCTTTTTTTTAACAAAAGAAAAAAGAGACTGTAGAAGAAAAGCCTAAGGTACTCAAATGTATGTTAGTTTAATGCATTATTACTTAAAGAGTATAATTTTTAATCTCTGCATCCCTGCTGCCTGCAATCATACCCTCGAGTGTTAGGGTAGCTATAAACATAAATTAAGAGGGTGTTGCCTCTTCAAAGCAGCTTTGGTGACTGAATTTGCATTTGCAAGGGAAGCTTATGGTGCCAGTTATAGATTCTTCACTGTCTCACTAAACCTGACTGGTGAATTACATTTTGTGACTTTGCAGCCTATAGTAATCATGCTAATAAAGATTTCAGAAAACACTGCAAAGGTTCAAATGTTGGAATGCTGGAATCCATGCATCTAAGACCTGTAAACTAACCATCATTTCCTATTACTGGATATCAAACAAGTGCATTAGTACTTAAAAAGCAGTAATACCACATAAAATTCCACAGAGCCTGCTCCATAAACTCTGGAAAATGTTCATACCAAGGTTCAAAACCACATCTCACCCTGAATGGGAAGCGAAGGGGTCGGTGGTAGGGCTGGAAACCCACTGGTCCACCTTGTTGCAGGATGGCCTGGTGGGCTGCATGTAGCCCCTCGCCAACAGCTGGGGCAGGGTTGTTGTTGTTGTTATGGTGACCGGGGGGAGGGTTATTATTGTTGTTGTTCACAGGCTGGTTGGCATCATTGTCCTCCTGCTCCCCGAGGAGGTAGGAGTGGAGGTCTCTGCAGAGGCAAAGAGAGAAGCGGTTGATTGGTTACAGCCAATTTGAGAAAATGTAAAATATGTTTTGGTGTATTCAGACCTGACTTACAGTAAATATCCAGCACTGACTGTCCAGGCTCTGACCAGGCCTTTGAGCCACTGGCGAGTGTGTCCCTGCTCCAGTAGAGCTGGCAGCACAACCTGGAGTAATAATAGCTCCAAAGACAGCTCACTGACTGGGGCGTCACTGAGGGGAAACAGGTGGACAGGTCAGAAAAAGACATTTCAACAATGTGCTCCAGTGCATGTCCCACATGGTGCCACAGAACAGTTCTTGAGATTTCTGTTCCCAATTGTTTTGATAAAGCCTTCTGTGTATGTATATGTTAAGTTTCTTACAGCTACTGAAATGGGCACATCACTACAACTCTTGTTTTTGATCAGTCATTCATGTTGGCAATACGACCGATACTTCCTCTTAAACTCAAGCTTTACTGCAGCAAGATGCTGTGGCAACTTGGCTTGAAGAGGAAGTGGGATTAAACATTTTAGAGAGACAAATCAGCAGCGTTCATATAGATTATTGCTAAGTGACTGATAATCTTGTTATGCCTGTGGTTACCTGTAGAGCATGACATTGTATGGCAGGAAGGTG